CTCCGCTGGGAGCCAACCCCCACCCCCGGCTGTGCCTTCAGCCCCCTTTCTTCTCAACCCTTAAATCGAGGCTCCATTCCTGAACTTCTCGGTCACTAGATGACCTCTTAACTCCCCTGGGTGCTGGCCACCCCACACCTCCCCTGAGCTCCTCCCTCCAAGCCTGCCTGCTACCTGGGCTTTCTCAGCCAGTGGCTTTGCCTCTCTTCCTCCCTGTTCACAGCCACCGCCTTAGAATTGCCTCCGCACCCCGGCCCAGCCAGGGCCCAGGCGCCGTGACTCCTACAGTGACCCAGCTGGGCCTGTTTCCAGAGACGCCCATAGCGTAGACTCTGTGGGTCTGGCCCTGGATGGGATAGAGCTGTTTGCCTGTACGGGGGCAGTAGGGGACACGAGGCATTATAGGAGAGACACTTCTTATTTCATTTCAGCAGGGATGTGTTTAATGCGAAGTAGAAAAACTACTTAGCAACTTCAGTCTGTGATGTGATTTCATGGGAATTATTGCTGAGAGCGACACCCGTTACCAGGAGCCAGTTAGCCGTAGAGTTCATGAAAAGCATCTAGAAAATAATGGCACAGGGGGCCGTGCCGAGCCCCATGGGGGAGAACAGCAAGAGGCCACCTTTAACACCTGCATTTAGTGTGAGCCTGTAGGATTGGGGTGTCGACTGATGTGTGAACCCTTTTTTGAAATCTTACATGCTGCTGTACAATACATGCAAAATAATGTCCTTCCGTCCAGGGATTTCGTAGAACCTTTTGTGCTGGAAATGCTGTTTCTGGACAGTCCCATTATACCCACTGGCCATAGGGGAGGGCACGCCATGGGGCTGGTGCTACTGAGGAACTGGATTTAATTTAAATTAAGCCAAGTTTACTCAGTTATCTAGGCTTTTCTTTTTTTCTAATCTGTAATAGTACTTTGAGTTTTAAATGTTTTTTTCAACACTGTGTTAACTGTGCCCCACAAATTTTGATGTCCTTTCACTTTATTCCTTTCAGTCAAGTTTTATAGTTTAAAGGCATGTTCTATTTATTTATGCGCACAAGAACTGGGGTACGGGCCAGAAGTGTGGGGGTGACAGGATTCACCAGAGACATAGTGGGGCGCAGACCAGGCAAATTGATGAATACACCGCTGAGGGGTGCAGCAGGCCAGACAGGAGAGGTCTGCCGCGCCCTGTGGGTCACCTCCGGGGTGGGGATTGAACCGGCGATGGCACTGAAGCGGCTGTGGCCAGCTTCGCTTTAGCCCGCCGTGCGCCAGGAGGGCCAGTGTGGCTACATTAAGTGAGCACGGGACCCTAGGATGTGTGGCTGTAGGGCAGTGCCTTCCAACACAAATGTCATGTGAGCAGAGTCCACATTTCTAGCGGTCAGGACTCTAAACATGAACGCAAGCCGGGGGAATTAGTATTGGTGATGCATTTTTTTTTATCACAGTAGATCCAAAATACTGACTTTCTAAAATATAAAAACTTTGATTAGTAGTATATATGAGTGAGATATTTCATATATTTTTCATATTCAATCTTCCGAATCTGGAATTTACACTGATCACACATCTCAACCCAGAAGCTGAAGTGTGCTTGGCTAACATGAAACACAGAGGTGTTTTTTACCGCTTGTGCTTTGAAGTGTAAATCCAGTTCCTTCCTGGTCGTACCAGCGGCTGACCCTGTTTACCTTTATATAAATCCTTGCCTGGGTTGGGTGACACTGATATTCTGGAAGCTGCGCTGTGTCGTTTCTGGGGCTCCGTGTTCCCGAGTCAGAAGCCGTTGCAGGCTGCTGGCGTGTTGATTCGCCCGCCTGTCCCCGGGGCCCTCCGCCTGGATGAGCTGCTGCCCCTCGTGGCCGTCTGGGCCCCTGGGCCTCAGGGAGCTGTGCCACGACTTCGCGACTTCGCGACTTTCCGTCCTTCAGCAGCGGTCCCGGGCCCCGGCCAACTTTGGGGTTCATAAGACGCGTGGCGCCAGCCAGGCCAGATGAAGATGCCACATGGGGCTCCAGGGCCCGGGAGCAGCTTTGGGGCCCCCATTCTGTCATACCCTCCCCCCTCCGCCTTGCTGAGCCCCAGAACTTGTGACCTCAGGAGCTGTGAAACTTGTTCGTTGTCCCCAGCTGGACCCTGCAGGACAGAGAACCTACAGAGTGGGTAAAAGCTGGGGTGAATGAGAAGACTCGAGGGGCCCCACCCACTTTGCCTCCTGTCTTCCCCGTTTCATCTTTCACCCCTCAGCCCCGCCCTGCCTGTTCTCACTCTCACCTGCCTGTCTGGGGTGTCTGTCTTCTGCCACCTGCCAAAATTCAAGCCACCCTTACGACTCCCCCAGGTCTATTTTTCCTTCTTTGAAAAGCCCAGATGGCCCCACTTTGCTGTTTCCCACCCCCACCCCTTGCCCTTGCCTGAACCTCACCATACACCCCCTGCGGAGGTGGAAGCGTTCCCCAGCTCCCGGCAGGTGTTCTGTGAGACAGTTGCCCCAGTGCTGACACCCCCCGGAACCCTCTCCCAAACCTTAGGAAGGGGCCTGTTCTTATCCTTTATTACAGACGGGGACCCCGAGGCTCAGAGCACCTCCCTAGCCAGCCCCAGCGAAGGGGCCCAAGCCCGCCGCAGCTCTTCCCACACGGACCCAGCAGTGACCCCCTTGAGGACTGTGCAGCAGTTTCCTGCCTCTCTACCCCAGTTTAGAGAGACGCGGGGGGGCGCTCTGAGCCGGCCAGAAGGCCACCCCTCAGGCCTGGGCTTGTCCCTCACAGGGTGTCACCGAGGGCTACAACGGCACCATCTTTGCCTATGGCCAGACGGGCAGCGGGAAGTCCTTCACCATGCAGGGCCTGCCGGACCCGCCCTCCCAGAGGGGCATCATCCCCCGGGCCTTCGAGCACGTCTTTGAGAGTGTCCAGGTACGGTCCTTGCGGAGGGCGGGGCGGGGACACGAGTGGCCCCCATGTGGACTGGGCCTGGGCCCGAGGCAGCGGGAGCCCTTCGCGACTCGGCCGCGGCCAGTGGGCTCAGGCGCTGGCTCTGAGAGGCGACGAGGGATGAATGGAAACAGTCTTTTCCCAGCCAGTTTTGTTTTCCTCGGCTTTTGGATTTTTTTTTTTTTTTTGAGATTTATTTATTCATGCACATAGAACTGGGGGGCAGGTGGTGAGGGGGTGACCGGATACACCAGAGTGGGGAGCAGAACAGGCAGATGGACGCAGTACACTGCTAAGGGGAGCACTGGGGAGACAGGAGAGGCCTGCTGCGCCCTGTGGGTCGGCTCCCTGGCCGGGGATCGAATTCTTGCTGCCGTGGCTGTGGCCAGCTTCGTCGTGCTGCACTTTAACCTGTTGTGCCACCAAGGCGGGGCCCAGCTTTTGGATTTTGACATTTTGCTTTACCTTTGTGGTGGGCCCGAGGATCCCCAGCAGCTGCTGACACGCGGTGACATATCATAGCGCTCCTTTTTCTGAGCAGCGGCCACAGACCAAGCCCCTGCAGAGCCCGGCGTGTGACTACTTCCCTGGCCCAGGAGGTGACAGCGTCATATTTGAGATGGGGAAGCCAGGACTTGGAGCCATATGGGTTTGGCCAAGGCCCGTTTTCCAGAATCCCAGCTGCAGGCTGGGACCGGGGCTGGAGACTGGAGACTGTTCTGGCAGTGCAGCGATCCCGGCACCGGGGAACAGCCGCATGGGGGCTGGGGGGCCTGCCACCTGCAGCGCCCGTCACACCTGGTTCCAGGACTCGTTCTGGTCACCCACAGCGTCATCGTGGTGGGCAAGCTGCCACATGTCGGCCAGGGCCAGGGCGCGGTCCAGGCCTTACCTGTGGCTTCTCCACCTGGAGACCTGAGAGGGAGCAGAAGACAATAGCATCCCCCAGGAGTTTCATGTAGCTCTGAGGAGCCTGAGCCCCGACCCCAGCTGGGGAGCTGAGCAGGGCGCCCCTCTCCTTGACGCCCCCTCCTGCCGTGCTGTCCCCGTGGGGCTGCGGCCTGGCTGCAGGCACTCCAGCCCAGGGCAGGTGCGGCAGCAGGCTCTCAGGTGCCCGCTCTCTGCCCCTCCCGTCAGTGTGCGGAGAACACCAAGTTCCTGGTTCGGGCCTCCTACCTAGAGATCTACAACGAGGACGTCCGCGACCTGCTGGGGGCCGACACCAAGCAGAAGCTGGAGGTGGGCACAGACCTGGCCGGGCAGGTGGGGCTGGGGCGGAGCTGGCCTCAGGTGGCGCAGCAGGTATGCTGAGGGCACCGGTGCTGCTTCAGACCCCGGCAGGGACATTTGAATTGCGAACATTTGAACTTGGATTTCGGAGTATTCTGGGGGCGGGGTTCGTGGGACGCGCAGAGGGTGGCCGCACCTCACCTGGGGTTGCCACCTGTGTCTGTGACACCGATGGCGTTTCATGATCGATTTCATTTGAAAGATCTTTGCTTCTGAACAGTACCTTGAAAGCTCAGGGCCCTTCAAACTAAAAAGAAGGCGATACTGGCTATCATGCAGGGAGAACTCACTGCTAGCAGGCTGCTTCGTGCTCGTAGCCTTATTAGCGAGATCTTAAAAAAAATATGTATTTACACATACAGAACTGGGGTACAGGCCAGAAGTGCAGGGGCGGTGAGAGGATTCCCCAGAGACAGAGTGGGGGGCAGAACAGGCAGATTGACCAGGCGCACTGCTGAGGGGAGCAGCGGGCAGGTAGGGAGAGGTCTGCCGCCATGCGGGTCAGCTTCCTGCCAGGGATCAAATTCGTGCTGACATGGCCGAGGCCACTTTGCAGTGCTGCGCTTTAACCTGTTATGCCACCGAGGGCCCGCGACACGTTGCATTTCCCGATTTACTGACCTATGAAGGCGGGTTGACTAACTTGCCCACGTATCACACAACACTAAGTAACTGAACCTGGATTGAATGCAGCTGTCCTGACTCTCAAGACGTTCATTTTACTGATGGACTCAGATTCAGGGTCCTTGTTCCCCCTGAGAGAGGGCAGCCACGGACCAACCTCTGACCCCTCAGGTGGTGGCGAGGGCTGAAGAGCTGCTGCAGAGGCCATGCTCGCATGCGCGTTAGGTCATGCAGTCAGGATCCCAGGGAGGACAGTGAATGTGATGGGGGTCGGGGGCCTTGGGACAAAGAGCCAAGGGCTGATGGGGGTGGCCGGCCGGCTGGACCCCTGCATGTGTCTCGTAAATGGTCCTTTCCTGGGATGAATCAGAGTGAGAGAACATCAAGCGTGGGGTGAAGCAGACCTAGATGCTTTGAGGGGTCTATCAAGATAAGTGGGACCTGGCTAACCCTGTGGGGAGCTCACTAGCTCAGGTGGCCTGCCAGGACTGGACAGCAGCTGGCGGCAAGGCTGGACCCTGGTCCAGCACCCTTGGGCCTGCACCGCGGTTCAAGGCCTTGGTTGTCTCCTGTCTGGGACTCTAGTGCCGGGCAGGCCTGGTCGAACCCCAGGGGTGAGGCCAGTGCGGAGAGGTTGGCCCCGATGTGGCTGCTCCCCCAGCCCTGGGACTCCTTACCAGGCCCAGCCGATGGGCACCCCCCAACCCCACAGGCCCACAGCTAGTGCTGGGGGTGGAGTCAGTCCTGGAGCTGAGGAAGTCAGCCCTTGTCCAGAGCATCAGTGTGGAGGTGGCTCTGCAGGCTCTATCTGACGAGGCTGGGCTGGGGGAGGGGGCTCATCTGGGAACACTGGGCTGGGGAGGGGGCTCGCCTGAGATCACTGGGCTGGGGGCCAGAGTTGAGGTAGTGAGGTGGGACATTTTCCTTGACCTGAACTGCTGAACTCTTGCCGGGACACTCACCTGGTCAGCTGTGGCGAGAGGCAGTGGTGAAGGGTTGGCCGCGGGTGCCCCACTGACCCTCCCTGACCCCTAAGTTGACAAGGCAGTGGCACCCGATTCCCTGGACCGCCCCGTGTGGGGGCAGGGCTGTTTCTCTGCTCAGCTTGAGCCTCCCTCCTCTTGCCCCAGTTTTTGGGGAACTGAATTCTCCTCTGATTGGCACCAACTCTGTGGCCCAAATGAACAAGTCAGACCCCAGGGAGTGGCTGGCTTGAAAATCCTGCTCTCACTGCACCCATTAGGGAAAAATCCTTAAACAATCAAGCCCAAAAGACCCTTCGAGCTTCCAGTTAGGCCCCTTCCAGGTACAGAGAAGAGACGGAGCCCCAGGAAGGGGCAGGGATTTGGGCA